TCAGACGTGTGCTCTTCCGATCTCCCCAAAACCCCAAAACCCCAAAACCCCGTTACTGAATAAAAACCATAAAAATATGATGTCTTGATATTAAAATATAAAGTAAATTATAATCATCAATAAAATGGATAGTTAAAAACCAAGGAACATGCTAGATTCTAGCTATGGTAAACAGCTTATATAATAATAATAAATATTTAGAGGATAGCTAAGTTGGTGACTTAGATGAGCAGACCATTACAGACGAAGCTAATGCCAAAGATTTTCATAATTTAGAGCCTAACCATAAGGGAATGAATAATAAAAATGTAATTAACTAGTCATATCAAATTTACAATTATAGAGTCATCCAATAAGTCCTCTAGGGTAGAATTATAATCACTAAAATTCAAAGGTTAATAAGCAAATAAGATAAGAAACCAATGATGATTTGAAGTCGAATTCAGTAGTTTAATATAGCAATAAAAATAAATTACATGCAAACGGTAAGATAATTTCATAATATGATGAAATGAAATTCGCTATTTCTGAGTTAAATTTATTAATTCCTTTGATAGATCTAGCAAATGTGAGTTCTTCAGTACGGTAATCATACATGGGCTTTTAGTAAAAGAATTTAAATCATGAAAACAGGGTCTCATACAATAACACAAAAATCAACAAGAATTCGTCCTAGGGGAAACTTGAAATTATTCCTCAGTCCCCAGATAAGAAAATTCAAAACGAAACATAAAGCATTAGTACTAGAAATAATAAAAAAATTCAGAATATTTTTCCAGGTGCAAATAGTATACTAAAATCAGAGTCAAGAGTTATGAAGCGTTTAAGAGCTAAGAATCCAATTTTGTTTTCCCAAGACAATACAAAGTCAATAATTAGTCCCTCTCCAAGACAGGTGATGGAAGACTTTGCAAATTACAACTCAAATGGCAGCAATGTGAGAGTTTCTCAAGGTGTTTTAAGCATGAAAACTGGTGGAAACGTTTAATAGAGCATGAAGAATAACTATGAGGAGCAAGTACATATCCTAACTAAGCAGTATGATTTAGGTCGTAATAGTAAGTTAACAATGGTAAGAACTAGCTATAACGACAAGAGCAGTATGTTTAACAAACCCCCAATTGAAAAGAAGATTCAGACTACTGCAGTGACATCAAGACTATATAATGATGTAGAAAAAAGAAGAGAAAGAAAAAAGGAAAGTGAGTAAGAAAAATAGAAGTATGATTTGGAGATGGAGCGAAAAGTGGTATAAGATAGTTTGGATGAGCTTGCAAAGCTAAAAAAGAAAAATTAGAAAGATCAAGAACCAAGTAAAGATGGCAATAAAGTATTGGAAGAATTCATTAAAAAATAACAAGAGTTTGTAGTGTAAAAACAGCAAAAAATTGTAATATACTTTAGTATTATTTAAATTTTATAGGATTAAGCTTAAAAAGAATTTTTCAGAAAAGAACGAAGCTAGGAACATAAATTATCCTTAAGATCGTAGTTACTTGCAAAAAAGAGTTAGGAAAGATTGCCAGGTGGAGTGAATGGTGAATAGAACTAAGTTCATGAGAGATTATTCCAAAATAAAGACTTAAGCATGAAAAGATCTAGAAAGAGTCTCGGTGAGAGTACTGTAATTACAAGCAGAACAGCTCAAACTAAATTCAATAATAGAGAGGAACAGGAAAAGCACGTTGAAAAATTAGTGAGACCAAAAACCAGAGAAAGAAAAGATAAGAATTTGATTGGCAAGGAAGTTTCAGTTGAGAGGTCTTAATTTATCTCCATGAGAATTAAAAGCAATAAGTTGCAGCAGAAACTGGTGTATGAAAGACTCTAGAAAGATGTCTACAAGCTCTGTGAGTCATATAACTTACCAAACTTTGATAGAGAGGGCAATGATGAGTTTGCAATTAGTTACGAAGTGTTTAAAAGATTATTAGATGATATGAGATTTGCTGATATTTCCAGAATAATGCCTAATGAAGAGAAATTACTGCCTGATATGTGGTTTAAAGAACTCAATTCAAAGCAAGATGAAGAAGATGGAGTTGAAGATTTCGCTGAATTAGGAAATATCATAACTCTTTTCGCTGCTATATTCAACATTAAATTATCAGACCTATTATTTGACGAGCAAGATCGTAAAAAATATAATAGGTTTGAAGGTTTTTTATGGTATGCTAATAAGCTACCAGCTAGATTTGAAAGCCTTGATGACATTGAACTGTGCCACAAAAAATACATTTAACTCTACAATAATACTAAGGTTTTAAAGAAAAAAGTTTAGTTATAAGGTGAATAGCTGACATTCAAGCCTCAATTAAATGAAAAATCCAAAAAAATGATAAATAAATAGCATCAAAGCAGTGAGAGAGTTTCTCATTTTGATAAATTAATTGATGTTGGAAAAAAAATCTAGGAGAAAAATTCGCAATTAAGGCAGCAAAAAGAAAAGTATGAATTTTAAGCACTCACATTCGTGCCTGAAACTAATCATAACAAAAAGCAAAGGGGAAAATATTAAAATTAGGACAAGAAAAAGATATTAGAGATGTAGGAGTTCAATGACCTTATGTCAAAGACTGTGAAGGAAAAAAAGAGCATGCAAACTTAAAATTTATTTGGAGGAATTCCAAGGGGTAATCCACATCAAACTGTGAAAGGAAGGAAGCATTAAAACTAACGAGATTATAGCAATAACTTGTCTCCAGGCTCAAGAAAATCCGAGGACTTTGACGAAGATATGTACGATGAAACAAGACCTAATAACTAAGAGGGATCAGTTTAGTCAAGAGGAGGAATGATTAATCCAACAAGCAACAGCAATTAAATCAATCAAATGGCATTGAATAACATCTAATAAATAAATACGAATGAAAAGGTGGAATCTCTGTTCTCACCAGCGAAATTAGATGAATAAAATTAGATGCATTATAACTCAAGAACCTCTGACTCTCAGTCAATATTTGAGATTTAATCCAGACACCCTAGAGATGATGACTTTGATAGAATGTCTTATATGAGCAAAGGCTCTGTTCAATCCAAGGCTTCCTAATATAGGATACCATAAAAGTTTTGTAAAAATTCTCATAATTTTCATCTAACCTATTAGCGATGGAAGACCAATCACCTCAGAGAAAGAAGCCCCTAGTGTTCATAGATGTTAATCTGGGAAAAGAAAAAGGAAAGTAAAAGCTGATAGTGTATGACAATGATGATCCTACTGAAGTTGCTTAGAATTTCGGATAACTTCACAGTAAGAAAGGTCATAATTTCTAATTAATTATAGATTTGAAGGATGAAAAGGTGGCATTGCTTGACAAATTACTAAGACAAAAGATTCAGGATCACTTGATCAAAGTACAGTAGCAAATGAGTACACCAGGATCAAATGGAATGTAGAAATCAATTAACAATGTTTAAAGCAGTGATGATCGATTAAATGAAAGCAGTAACTAGAATCAAAGAGAGAAGAGCAATACAAGCATTATACCTAATTAGAGGACTCCCCATTAAAAGAATGTTAGTGAAAACTCAATCTAGCAAAGTAAATAATGACAAATTACTGCAAAATTTTATTTATTTGTTTATTTAAAAAAAGCAACATGCTCTCTCTCTTAAAATATAATAGTTGATGGGGTTTTGGGGTTTTGGGG